TCCTGCTCCAGGCCCTTCCTGGTGACCCAAAACAAGGACAGAAAATGAGTCTGGGCATGGAGTTGCCCTGTCCTCAGAGGCCCAAGAATGAGGATGACCAAGTGGTGCTACCCATCAGGAAACTCTCAGTTTCTGGAGATCAGCCTCAGAGTGAGAATGGAGAGTGGAGGGGCCCGAGCAGAACTAGATGGAGCACTTAGAGCCTCCCTGCTGTGATGAAGGAGCGGGTCTTTGACGGCCTCTGTTCTGTTTCCCTTTATTCTACCTACCAGGCAGGCACAGATGCCCTTATGTAGACGGATATGACCCTTTTTACTGGCCAGCTTGTGACTATAGGGACCTATGAGCTCCCTGGTACACAAATGCTATGGGCATGTGTATTCATGTTTGTGGAAAAGGAAGCCCAAAATGTCTTCAGATTTTTATGGCGCTCCATGACCAAGGGAAAAACAGTATGAGGGCAAACACAGGAAGGCACAGAATGAAAAATGTGGAAGGCAACGCCTGAGAATGACAAAGGACGCTGCTGACAAAGAGAAAGCCAGCCGTTGTCAGCTGTCTCTTACAGTAGATAACGGTGTGTTCCCCTGACCGTACACTGTGCCACAGACCACCAGCATGAAATAAAATCGTTCTGTTATAACACACAAAATTACTCTCAAACCACGTCTACACATAGACAAATAGAAACACTCTGCAAACCCAAAAATGGTTCACGAAATGTCCCTCTTTTGCTTACCATAAACATCCATCATTCACAAAGCACAGGTCTGCTCTGTTCTGTTTTGTTCATTCACAAAAATTTAAGATGCACAACCATGGGCTTGCCTTGTTTCTTGACAGCAGCCTGCACAAGATAAACATTTCATTCTTAACTTCTGGCCAAATCACCTAACGTGAAACCAAATCCTATAAAAAGTCTCTCTTGCAAACTGCTACAAAGAAATCCTATGGAAAAAGAAAACTAAAACCTAAAAATAATCAATTTTGCTTGACTACAGGGATGTTCTTTATGGGCTTTGCTTAGGGTGATGACACTCCCATTCACAGCCTTTGTTCTGCTCACAACAACCTTAAGCAAAAGAGAATGAAGTTCAAAATTTTATTTCATAGACATAAAAACATACTCATCCAAGATATCTAAACTCACGATCACAAGTCAAAGCCAAGCTCCGCCTCCAAAATGGTGCCAGCTAAGAATTCTGCTTCCAAGTTAAGCAGACTGTGGTGCAACCATCCTGTAAAGAAGAAAAGCCCTACTTAAACACGCATCATGGTGACAGTGCCTGGTAGACCAGCTGAGGGTACAAAACTCCACAGCCAGGGCAATGGTGCCCTCTTTCACAGAAGAGAATGCTAGGCTCTGAAAACAGAAAAACTTGACCAATGACACTCAGCTAGGAAGTGTCAGAACTGAAATCCATTTAGGTTTCAGGAAGGGGGTAAGGAAACAGGCAGACTTGCTGGCAATCACAGGAGCTGTTGTATCTGCAGCTCTTAGCATGACGGGGATTTCTGGTGTGGATAGCAGAGTGGAGGCAGTCATGGGAACTCCCTAAAATCCAGAGCAAAGACACAGTGGCCTTGTCTGTGGGGTGATCAGGAACTGACATATGAAGAGAAGGGAGTTGGCAGAAGTTGCTGGAGACCACAGAGAGCAGGCTGGTCCTGCTGGCTGGACTGGGCCAGCAGTCTGTGGATAACTGTCAAACTGACTTCCCACCCAGACATCCACCCCCTCAGTTCAGGTCCAGGATATTTCAGGGTCTAAAGGGCAGCTTCCTGACCTCTGGTTTAAGTATGTAATAAAAGCAAACACTGTGATCAAAGCCAACACCTCCAGCATGACCTGATAGCACCTACCTCACCGTACTGTTTGCCATGGGAGCAGGAGCAAGAGCAGTGGACAGCTCTGGTTACTAAAACTAACTGAAAAGAACTAAGAAAGATGCCCACTGCCTTCCCTGGACCTAGATATGCTGGTCACCATCATTGTTCTAGCCATGTGGTGTTTGCCATCCTGGAAATTTTTCATACACAGGGGATTAGTTTGCAAGTGAGGAAACCAGACCTTTCACAAGCCAAGGAGTCCGATGGGGAAGGACCTGGAAGGGCATGATGCACACCTTCCTTTTTCTATTCAGAGAACTCCACTGCATCCTATCCCATACCCAGAGGCTCTGTGCGCAGTTCTCACAGTGGCTTCCCTCAACGCCCAAGCTAACATGACTTCTGCACAACAGCTACTATAGTTTGGATCTGGAACATTTTGGAAAAGTCTATGTGTTAAAGGTTTGGTCACTAGCCTTTAGAACTATTGGGAAGTGGCAGGACTTTAAAAGGTGGAGGCTGGTAGAATGCTTCAGTTCAGAGGAAGCCCTCTTTTCACAGGGGATTGTAAGACCCAGATCTCATTCTCTGTCATTTTTGTCCTGGTCAGGAGTTGGAGAGCTTCCGGTGGCACTGGCTCCTGCCATGCTGTGCTGCCTCATCACAGGCACAAAAGCCTCAGGCCAAGTGAATGTGGACTGGAATCTTCTGAACTGTGACCCAAAATAAATATTCTTTTTTACAAGTTGACCATCTTGAGGGTTTTTGTTGTTTCTTGTTTACTTTGTTTTGTTTACAGTAATGTAAAGCTGACTCACACAGAAAATTATCTGTACTAGTAATGTTGCTCAGAATCGAATTTGATTCTTGAAGGTGTCGTTCCATTCCTGCGACACGGTCCCAGTTGACCACTGTAACATAGTTCACGTTATTTACGCACAGAGCTCCATAATCTTACCTCCTAGTTGTTCTTCTTTTGCATTTTTCTACTTTAAATGAAGAGCGCTTAGATATTCAAACTAGAACCCTACATTCCCATCAAAACCTAGCCTCGTTCACTTCAAATCCAACCATTCCCCAAGACCAGTCATTCACACCTTGGTGGAGTTAGGGATTGCAAGGAAAACAATTATATACAAGACATATAATTTATAGTATTATTTTATAATAGTCACCCAGGGAGTCAAATAAAAATGAAACAGTTTCAGGAAATCTGTCTACACACCAAAACCCAAGGAATCCTGCTGAGGGTCTGGATCCCATGGCAATGCCCTGCGTGGGTCCAGCTGAAGACCTGGAGTCCATGACAGTGCCTTCCAGGAGTCCAGCTGGAGGCCTAGAGCCCACAGTAATGTCTCATTCAAGTCTGTTTCACAGATCTGCACTGGGAAACCTCAAAGGTCAGCAGTAGAAATCAGAAAGTCTGTGCCAATGGGATGAAGGATCTGTGCCAACAGGCTGAGGGTTCTGCACTGCAGCCAAGAAACAATGCTCAAAATAAGGCCGATGATTCCCCCAGAAAGTACCGTAGCCATCATGAGTGACAACAAGGTCCCAAGTTCCTCAGATGTTGAGGACAGCCAAATTCATACCAGGAAGCCAGTGTGACAAGCTTCTCTTGGAGACTGAACAGCACACCATCTGCCGCTCTGGAGCCAGGAAGTGGTAAAGAAAAGACCAGGGCTGGCCCAGAGTGAACCTCAGCCATTCTTAGCAACAAGTTTCACAGCTCCTCTGATGATAACAGCCAAGTTCGTATGAAGAAAGAAGCTCGACAAACTCCTCCAGGAGAACCAATAATACCACAGATAACCAACAACACCACTCTTCCTCTCACGTTCTCCTTTGTATCTTAGCAACAACCCTCAGGTGGGCCATCCACACTCAGCACCACACTGATTCAGTTCAGCTGGGGTTGCACGTTGGCCACCAGTTATCAACCCACCATACACTTCCTAGTTGTTTCTTGATGCATTTGCCATTTCCCTAACTCAGCCACTGTCACCTACCTCTGGGCTGGTCCATTTTCCCTTCCAATCCTTCTCCACATTTGTTCACATCAGTCCTCTCTGGCTACAAGATGAGGCAGTGTAATGTGAAATAAAATAAGGCAAACTAATCTGGGTAACATCGAGACAGGCCTCTCTGAGACAGGGATATTTAATAGAATAGCAGAGGCTCCCTGCAGGACACTGGAGGATGGGGCTATCCAAGGAGGGAAATATCAAGTGTAAAGTCTGAGGTAGGATCACCTTCAGCTATCAGTGGTAGCAAGAACTCTTCTGGGCCTTCATAGCTGAGTGTGTATGCATACATGCATGCCTGTGTGTACATCTGGTGTGCACAAGCAGGTACATGCATCCATGCATGACTATATGAAAATAAGGATCTTGACTTCCCACTTGAACCTACTTCAGACTATGGCGGCTCAGCAGTGAGAACTGGCAAAATAGACAGCGTTTGAAGGAAGCACCATGTTGCTTTATAGCACACAATTAAAAAAACTGTGCTGCATGACCCTGGAGACGCCTCTGAGAAGAGTTGAATATAGTGTTAAAAAGAGGTTTTTTATTAGTAGCTTGGGGTAGTATACGCCTGTAATCCCAGCATTCTGGAAAGCTGAGTCAGGAGGATTGCAAGTTTTAGTCTAGCCTTGGAAATTAGAATATGTCAAAATAGAAAAGGCACGTTGGTTTCTTTTCTCTTGTTGCTGGGACAAAATATCTGACACCCAGAATGAAGGAAGGGAAGCTTGAGGATGCTGCAGTATATAGTCAGCTGACTCCAAGGCAGGGGCAGCACTTTAAGGCAGCGGCCAGCAAAAGCAGCCGGAGCAAAGAGGGAGGAAGGAGCAAGCCTCTTTCCCCCCCTTATACAGTACACAGGGTACCCTGCTCCCAGGGTAGGTGCAGCACTCACAAAATCTCCATGCCCACCTCTTGCACAGAATGGGGATATTTACAAACCAAGGATCCTGGCTCCCTACTGAGTTTCTTAGTTAATCTTCTAAACTGCTCAAGTTGACACAATATATCAACCACAACAAAATGAAAAAGAAAGGGCTGGAGATGTAGCTCAGTGTGAAGGCCCTCGTTTAATCCTAATACCACAGGGAAAGAGATGCTTGTTAGTTGTTCATTAACCCAGGATTGAAGGCCAGGGCTGGATCCCTGTTGCACACAGCTGATTTCTGAGTTCTGCCTCCTTTGCTTTGTGGCATGGGCCACAGTTCCAGGCTGTAGGGTCACTTCCCTGTCATTAAGTCCCTGCTGTGCAGAAGCTCCATAAGTAAGTAATTTAAGTCATTTTTGGTGAACAGATCTCGGGTTTTGGATCAAGAGACAAGGGGTTTTGTTCTGGAAGCTTAAAGAAATCATGTTGAAAGTGTCTTTTCTCTGCGTATGCTGGTGTATCAGGGATCTCCTCAACTACTCATCTGCAAAAAGTGCTGTCTTTATTTTCAAACTGAGCCGTGGAGTATGAGACCCATGAAGCTAAGGCTTCCTGGGAAGAAATGGAAGATAGCTTTGAAGGCCAGGTGATACGTTAAGATTGAGAAATGAGGGAGGGATGATAGGAAGGTTGTCTAATTGCCAGTGATTTTTACTCACAGAATATAGGGAATACCAGCCAGTAAAGAAGGATCTACTACTCTCCTGGTCCAGTGTATTGAAAAGTTTCTGGAGAACGTGCTCTCTTTGGCCACCCTGCTGGCCATGGGGAAGAAAGCACCAAGAACCATACTCAGATTCATTCTGGGCTCAGCTAGTGACTAATACATTGCTTGATCTCAGGTCAAGACCTGACTCTGTCTCTCTAGATAGCCAGCTCAGTGCTTGTACTGAGTAGTGACAGTTAACCATCCATGGATAGAAACTGTATGCTCAGACATAAAAAGGGGATATGGGCTTACAGATGGGCCCAAACAGCAGGGGAAAGAGAAAGGGAGCTTTTGCAAACACCTGTGTCTCTTACACCCTTGGTCAACAGGCACAAGCAGACAGGAGTCATGTAGGACTTTTGTTCTTACTGTCACAGGAAGCGCATTTACAACCTCCCAGTAGCAACACTGGAGACCTGGGCAGTGCGGACAACCTGAACAATGTCACCGCTGCATTTATTGTGCATATTTTTGTTAAGATACTAATTGTACAATCACACAGGGAATATTTATTTTTCCAAGTAACTTGTCCGGAGTCTGTGAATGGTTCATCCATTTCAGTGTTGCCTGTGCCCAGGTTACGGGACAGAGGGCATGTTTGGCAACTTCGTGTTGACTAACTGAAGTGGAAATGATAATCTGTCTTGGCTTTTCTCACACCAAGGTGAGGACCATGTCCCTGTTTTCAGCATTTCTTCTCCTTCTCCTGAGCATTTCAAAGACTCATTCAGAAAGTGTCCCCAGCGAGAATGCTCAGACGTGCCCTGTGATTGCCTGTGGTTCTCCAGGACTGAACGGCTTCCCAGGCAAAGACGGACATGATGGTGCCAAGGGAGAAAAGGGAGAACCAGGTACCTGTTGGGCTTCTCTTTCTTTGTGACTCCTTGCTTCCCAGAAGAAACTGCCTGGAGGTATGGGGAGAATAGTATCTTATGTAGGAAACCTGTTTTTCTCCATGGTACACCGTATATCACAGCAGAGGTACAGCTCAGGTTCTCTGGCATCGCAGATTTCCACACAGCATTTTGCTGCATGCATTTGTCTTGCCTGTTTAGGAAAGTGACCCTCCCTCCGAGCATCCTCTTCTACAGGACACAGAAGAATTATTTCTTGTCTGGGTCACTGCATGTAGTGATTCCAATAGGTTGGCGCTAGGTCAGTGTTTTCTTTCTTTGGAAAAGGATTATGCATCAATCCCTCGGGAAGAAGAGAGAAAGAGCACAGATACCAAGTCTTGTATCCTTTGTCTTTCAATAGGTCAAGGACTCAGGGGCTTGCAAGGCCCTCCTGGGAAACTGGGGCCACCAGGACCCCCAGGGGTTCCTGGAACACGAGGACTAACGGGACAAAAAGGGGATCCTGGAGTATGTCCAGGTAAGTGAAATACCAGATGGACCTTAATGCAAGAAATTCAAGGTTAGGAAACCCGGAGGACCAGGTGGGTGGTACCCTCTTTTCCTCTCCAAATGCTCCTTGATGCTCTCTGGTTACTTATAGTCTCTGAGAATCCTATCAGTGCCTGAATGGGGATTTGCAGGTATTTCAGAACCATGATTTTATCAAGCAATTCCTGGAGCATTTGGACCCAGGTTCTCCTTCAGTGAAAACAGTCCAGTGTGAGGTTCTGGCGCTAGAGAGAGAAAGTAGGATATCTAGGTGTGTAGATAGAAAGTAGAATATCTGTAGAAAGTAGGATATCTAGGTAGTAGGATATCTACCATTTTCCCCAAACACATGGTACATTAGTTGTATTTTTATTTCTAAGAAACCAACTGGAAACTCATTGCATTAAAGACACAACCAGTTATTCAGATAAAATTCTGTGAATCAGATTCAGAAGTTCTGGATTCAGCTGGGCTCATTCTTGTGTCTGTGATAACTGATGGCCCATCATCCCACTCACATGTCCCTCTGCTTTTTGAGTATCAGCTGGCATGATGAGTGTCACTGAAACACGGGTCTCTTGTCATCCACCAGGCTACCAAAAGCTTGATAACAGAGGGAAGTTACAGGATTCCCCCAGCGTACAAAAACAGAAACTTCTAGGTTTCTTGAGTCTTAGAACACATTGGCATTTTTCCTATAATGCCCTGATCTCAGAAAGTCAGAAGTCCAGCCCAGGTTCACCGAGTGTAGAAATGAACTTTGTTTCTCAGTAAGAGAAGATGCATCAAGCGACAGCCATATCTGCCATCCTCTTCTAGCCTGCCTCATGTCCAATTCACTTGGGCAGTGGGAAGCTCGAAAAAATCATGGCTTCCTGAGCTGGGTTTTTAGCTCAGTGGCTCAAGCACTTGCCTATTAAGTGTGAGGTTGTGTGAGTTTGATCCACAATGCAAAATATGGCTTCTTGATTTATTTCAGAGAAAACAACAAAAACAAAACAGTAAAAGTTAAGGGAACTTCTTAAAGGCAATATCTCCTGTTCATTTTATTCAACATTTACCAGCTCAAAATTTCTCTGGAGATTTCTTTTTCACCTTGATAAAGCCATTTTGCACATAAAAAAGAATAGTGCAAAGCCTGGTTCATAGATGCTATCATGCTAGTAATAAGGGAGGTCATGCGTGGATGTGAGGTTTATATGTATACCAAGTGTCTTCATAGCTCTTTTTTTTTCCTGAAAATAAGACCTAGTTAGAAAATAATCAGCTCAAAAACTAGAGATCAAAAATGCCAGCCCCAATCAGCCGATCCGTGCCCTTGATGCCTACAAAGCGGTCCCTGAGCAAGAGCACAGTGATGGCGGGAAGCCAGGAGAGGCTGATCAGGGCCTATACTTTTACTCTTGACCTCAGCCAAAAGGCCAAAAAGCCATCTTGTTATTTTTGATCTCTAGTTCTTAAAGTCGATTATTTTCTGGCTAGGTCTTATTTTTGAGGAAACACGCTAGTTAACAGGTGAAGACTGATTTTTTGGGTGGGTAAAATATTTTTTTTCCCCTTCGTTTTTCTTCTTAAATTTTTTCATTTACCTGCAAGACTAAAATAGTAATGTAAAAGAAATTATTTTTTACTTGAAAATAAATACCCCTGTCCATATGTGTACAGTTTGGGGACTCCATCTTAAAAAAATGATTCTTTATTCTGTTTTAATTTTCTAGTGTGTGATACTAGCATGGCTGATAGAGAAAAGAATGCTCTGCGAAATGAATTGGAAAAGATCAAAAAGTGTAAGATTTGTCTCATTCTTTAAACAATTTCAAGTTCAGGAATGGTGGAGGGCATTGAATAGTGACTAAATATACGTGATTTGCTAGTATCTGGATAGGTAATTCTCATATTCTGATCTCATGAAATCCTCAGAATGAACTTTTATTAGAAATGGAAGCAGGGGGAAGTTAATTATTTGCACAAATTCAGAGCTAATATGTGACGGTACAATCAGTTTCTAGGTTAAAGTCAGTCTGACCCCAGAGACGGGGCTCCTGAATTCTCGGATTTTTGCTCACTGACAATGGGTTTATGTCCTTTTCTGATGCTGGTCTCTAAACCTGAAAATGGAACCAAACTTATTCCATCTGAGAGAAATATTCTGAGACCCCTTTGTTATTAACAGTGCAGTAGAATTTAGAATTCCAAATTTAGAATTAAATTAGAGTTCCACAAAACTCATCCAAAAGGATATAGGTTTTGCATCAGTCTAAACGTTCATTTAAAGATTGCCAGATTTAACGAAAAGACAATACATGAATTATAGTATTTGAATTCCAATTAAACAAATAAATAAATTTTTTGGAGGATATAAATATGCTTCCAAAATTTCATGGATGTTTGTTGGAATGAAAAAATTCACCCTTACCTAAAATTCAAGCTTCACTGAATATAGCATATTTTTCTAGAAACTCCATTGTGGAAGCATTTACCTAGGGACATAATTTAAGTTATGCTTAAAGATATCCAGTGTCTACTTTTTCCCATTTTAGGGTTATTCTTCTCTCTTGGCAAAAAAGTTGGAAAGAAATTTTTCTTGAGCAGTGGTCAACAAATGAGTTTTGACAAAGTGAAGGCCCTTTGTGCCCAATTTCAGGGCTCGGTGGCCTCTCCCAAGAATGCTGAGGAGAACAGGGCCATCAAAAATGTTGTTGGAGAACATGCCTTCTTGGGCATCACAGATGAAGAGAATGAAGGCCAGTTTGTGGATATGGAAGGAAAAAGACTGACCTACACAAACTGGAACACTGGGGAGCCTAACAACTCTGACTCTGGCGAGGACTGTGTGGTACTCCTGTCAGATGGCAAGTGGAATGATATCCCCTGCTCCTCGGTGTCTAAGGTAGTCTGCGAGTTTTCTGTCTGAGGAAACACGCCTGTCAGCTCCTTTTGTCCCGGAGGCCCATGCTCTGCTTTAAAAGATAAAAGATAGCAATGTTCCCAGAGCCACTACTGTGTTGCTCCTTTGAGGAGAAAGTGAGGGGACTGAATGCTGGACGTGGAGATGAGAAGTGAGAGAAGCCCGTGCAGGAGTCCAGGGAGGGTTCAGGCTGAATCGCTGCTGATGACTGTTAACAGCAAGGAATGAAAATGAAGCCGCAATAGTATGTGTTTCAATGTTTACCATAAACCAGACCCTACATTTTATATCTTGCAATGATTACTTAAAGTTAATTAAACTATAATTGTTTTATTTCAGTCATGTTTACTTGCTAAGATTCAAAATAAAATGTGCATGTTTTTCCTCTTACTATAAACACTTGTGCTCCCTGGAGCCTTCTTTTCTGTCTGGTAGAGGACTTTCAGGATGATGCGATCACGGCAGCCTAATTCCATAACTACTCGGTCAGTCTTGGGTACCCAAATGATCCATTGTATAGCTTTTTTTCTGAATTTCATTTCCTTTTAATGAGACATTAAGTTATGTAAAGAACATAAATCTCAGGTGAACATGAATTGCAATATGATAAATTCTCACACATGTATACACCCTCATAGCCACATTCTAGATTAATAATAGGACAGTTCTGTTGCCTTCAGTGTTCCATTTATAACTCCTTAAATCGATATTTCTAGAGTTAAATATTCTGACTTCCATTGTCATACATTAGTTCTCTTTATGTATTCCATGAAGGTTGAATCATCCAGTATGTACTGTTTTAGGTCTTGCTTTTTTCACTCAAATTGAATTCCATGAGATTCATTCATGTTGTTACATGTAGCAGTAGTTCATTTTATTGTTAACGGACATTTAAGGGGATTACAGATTTTGGCCATTAACAAAATATGCTCAAGAACATTTTTGCAGCATTTGTTTGGTAGACACAGTGCACTAATTTCCTGGGGCTGTCTACCCAGGAGGACAGTTGCTGGTAACAGGGAAAGCATTTATGTAGCTTTAGGAGGTAGTCTGAATTTTCCAAAATGATCATACAAATTTATAGTGCAAAGGCTATTTTGATTTTTGATAAAGTTCTTAGTTTTGAGGAAATCTCGCTTACTTGTATTTTATTTTAAGGATAGTACTTTTGTCATGTTGTTTAACAAATCATGGGCTATTCCAAAATCTTGAGGACATTCTCTTACTTTTTTCCTAAATCTTTAGTTGGAATACATACCCACTTATGACAAGACTATTTATTGGAAATATTATTCTCCCATTAAGTTAGAGGGGTGCTTTTACATGAATTAGGTGATTTTATATGTATGGGTCTCTTTCTGGGGTCTCCATTGTAATTTATTGTTACAGCCATTGAAGCGTTTGTGAAAAACTACAGTATCTTAATTACTGTGCATGTATCATAAGAAGTGACACCTGGCAGTGTAAGCCCCCCAGCTTTGCTTTTCTTTAAACTATAGGATTTTGAAATAAATTGTAGAACAAGTTTTTCCAGTTTCTGCAAGATCTGATGAGATTACTCTGAGGACAGCATTAACTGTATGGATCAATTTAGATAAAACTGACAACTCATTACTGAGTCTCCAATCAGTGAGCACAGTGTATTACTATTAAAATAGGGTTTGGATTTCATTTAGATTTTTCTGATTTTGAAATTTTTATTTAAAGAGAGCTCTTCTCCATCTCAGCTCAGTGATATTAATGTTTTTTAAATATGATATATTATTAATAATTTTAATTTTCTACTGTATACAATACAGTTTGTGAATATGATCTTAGACTGAGAAGTAGTAACTGACACCCAAAGCAAATTATCTGGGCTCACTGTTCTTAGTGGTTTTACTCCACAGTCAGCTGGCTGCAGAACAGAAATGGCCTGGTAGAAAGAACTGGCAGAGGAAGAAAGCTGCTGTGCATGTCACCATAATCAGGAAGCAGAGGGAGAAGGGAGGAATGCAAATGCATACACATCCCTCAGGCCAGGCCCAATGTTACCTGCTCTACTTCCCAACAGCACATTCAATTATGGCTTCTCAGTGATTAGTTAAATGCTCAAGATAGTGGCACCATGATCCAGTCATCTGAACACATGAGGTTCGATTTACTTACTTACTTACTTACTTATTTATTTATTGGTACCAGGAATTGAACTCAGGACTGTGCCTTGCCAGGCAGGCCCTGTACCGTGGAGCTATGCCCCTGGCCCACACATGGAGTTTTGAAGGGAAATTTCTTAGTTGAATCTGTAATAAGGGACAGGCTTGTCCTTCTGTCAAATCAGCAGCTGGGTAGAGCCACCCCACAGGCAAGGCCTTGACACAAGCTGCTGTCAAAGGCATCAGTCCATGAGATTTACAACAGCACTGTGAAGTGGGAGTGATGCTGGCTTGGGCTCCTCAACCTAGAAGGAGCTTAGAGACCACAGTGGCCCAAGATGTGGTGAGTACAGGGGAGGGTTACAAACCCATCCAGGTCTTTGTTCCTGAGTGTTGTTACACAACACTTTCTTGGGACTTCAATCAGCAGTGAGAAATTGATATATTGAGAACAATGGCCTCAACTCACTCTCAACTCAATCCAGACCATAGGCGGTATTCAAAGGCAAATCTATTAAAAAAATCACAAAATAAATTTCACCTTTCTCTTATAACACTTTCAGAAGTAATAACAAAGGAAAGTATATTTCTAGTTCAGATATTTCTGAGCCAGATTGCTCACAGATAATATCATGTTATTTAACAAATGCTAGGCTAACTCATGAAATAACTGCCTACTGCCAACATTTTCAAGGAAGTACATTGCAATGATAATATCATGTAGTAGCTTGATTTTCTAAATCTATCCTGAAATTTACAACATGGTCGTCATCCAAGTAACACCACCTGAAGACAGTGACATCTGATACCTACCTATCTGTTAGATATATTAGACTAAAAATATAAAAGATCTATGGCAATATATAAAAATATAATATATGTAAGTATATGATAATATTTATAATAAAATAAAAGATCCAATAACTGAAAGTGAAAATCACTGTGCTACTTCAGGATTTAGAATCCTAGGCCTCACGCATCCTGTGTAAGAGTGCTACCACTGAGCTACCACAACCACCCTTTGCCTGCGTTTGGGAAAGCATTTATGCTTGTACGCTGCTAATTTCTATTTGTGTTAAGTAGGACTGTGGTATTTTTTCCTGGCAGTTTTGCTTGCCAACATTTTGAGGATATTTGGTTTCTATTTTACTTGCTTGTGTTCACCATGCAATGCTTGACTGGATCTTGGAAATTTTAAACAATATAATCTAGGAGGGAGATGGCTCTCTGGACGGTCTCAACAACCCAATGAAGGCCTCTCCAGGCCCCAGCTCCTCAGAGAACGTCCATTTCTGGATTCCACTGATGATCATGATCCCCATTCCTGGATTTTAAAACAACAACAACAAAAGAAAACCAAGCTGAGGTTTCAAACAAATATTTTTTACCCGAGAGTCTGTGAGAGGAATAGGTAGTGTTTTGGGGTAAATCAGTGCCTGTCATAGTTTTGCTGCATTTTGAAGTTTTTTGAATCCATAGGTGCCTGAAGTATGTGTTACTAGGCAACTGTTGTTCATTTTATATGCATGCAAATCATGGCACAAATAAGGAGTCTTGAAATCATGACCCTTTCAGTCAGGACTAGTGACCCTCTCTTAGTGGCTTTTCAGCCTGATAATGCAAGCCTGTTTCAACAAATAAGAAACAAGATCTTGTCTATCAAAAATATGAACAAGGGAGTGTCTCAGTTTTAAACTTTGCCTACCCTATGCTCTCCTCCCCACCCTTTACAAGAGAGTTATGGGAAATGCCTGCTCAGTTTCGATTCCTATTGCACAGTGATCACCAAAGAATTTAGCAACAGCCAAGAGCTTTCAGTTTCCCATACACCGTTATCCCTCTCCCTTAGCCACCCTGCTCAGCAACCTTTTAGACTTTCCCTTTGCATTGCTTAAATCAGCCAATCAGGACAGACTATGAACTTTCAAACCATCCAATGAGGAGAAAGACAGCTGCTTTCATGTATTAGAGAATAAAAGGACACTGCAGCTGCATTTCTGCACACTTGTTACTTTATATTAAACTGTGTTGGCAACTTTCTGCAACTTTTGCCTTTGCCTTGTGATTTTTTGGTAGCTGAATGATTTATCATCTGCACTGACAAATTGAGTCTGAGCTTATATTACCAGCACACACACGTGTGTGTGTGTGTGTGTGTGTGTGTGTGTGTGTGTGTGTGTGATGGGGTTCTGCTCTATTTGGTAGATTAGATGTCTCAGGAGGTATATTTTTATTTTTAATCTTGAGTCAGGCTCCTGCAGAATACTCTGGATGACTATAAACAAGGCATCTTCCTCTTCACCCTTCTGAGTACTTGGGATTGCAGGCTTGTGACCGAATGCCAGCCCAGGCCACATGATCTTTTTCAATGTTGTTTCATTTTGGAGTATCCTTGTGATTCAATATGAAGTTTAGGATGGTTTACATCATTTCCCTACCTTTCTCTCTTTTTTTTCCCTCTCCATCCCTTCACTGTTGATCGATTCCTGGGGATTTAACCTAGGGCCTCATGCATGCTATGCAGGAGCTCTACCAGGGAGCACCACTGCCACATTACCCTGGGCATTTGTGAACACGATTATGCTTCACACACCGATGTTCTCTTTTTGTTATAGATGACTGTGATGCCCTTTCCTGGTAGTTTTCCTTACAGATATTTAAAGGTTATTTACATTCTATTTTTAACTTGTTGTCTGTATCTTACACAATTTGTGCTGGGTTCTTGGAGTATATACATGTATATATTTTTAAAAATTAATATATAAACATATATATTTTAATTTAAAAACAAAAAAGATATAAATGATACAGAATTTTTTAAAAAATAGGAATTTAACACTAGTTAATATATTTCATATTGTCTTAAAAGTAGTTGTTCAGATCACAAGATTTAGGCATAAAAAATGAAAAAGAGTCAAACAATGAAAACACAAACTGTTCTTTTTGATAAACTAATAGAGATTAGTAGTATAGTTATCTAATTAATATATATATCTATAAACACACACATATATGTACATATATATACATGTAATCTTTTTATTTTGAAGAGATTAAAACCAAATGAGTCAAAACAAAAGGATGGACATAGTACATGACTTAAAACTAAAATACAAGGTGATCAACAATTGTTACCATAATGTCTCTTGTTATCTTCAGTAGAATTGCCCATATCATCAGGCACAATAAAACTGAACATAATAGTACAGAACAAAGTCAATAAAAACAAAACATGGGAGACATTATAGGACATCAAAAGAAGGT